TATATATAATGTATACACAAAATGCTGCTCGTGTACGATTTTTTTTCTTCTGTCACGAACTATCTACAACTAAGGAAAGCAAAGGAAGCGCGCGTGGTTGTATTAGTTGGTTTTGTGATACTCGTTGCCGTTGTACTGACAGGTTCTGTCTGAAATGTCATCCTCGTGCTTGTTCGTCGCATATAGAGCTCACGTCGTTGCCACCATTGATCAAGAATACGCGTGTACATGTATATAGTTGTCACACAGCCAGCTATAAATGTCTGCGTGGAATCAGCAATCATACCTTCTCACACAGCATCTCATTGCACGTTGAGCAGGTGAAGCAGGACTCGTGGTACTTCTTGCCGGCATACTCAAAGGTCCGGTCTGTGATGTAGTCCTCGCACTTGTCGCATTTAGGGCTCACGGCCTTCACGTGACACTTCTGACACTGAAGTACATTGGTGTCGGGATGCACGAAGTATCCAGTATCCCGCAGACCCGCGTCACACTCTTCGCAGGTGAAGCACTGGTTGTGCCACGTCCTGGAGGTCATGTAGTTTGTGAGTACAAATGAAGTAGGTAGAATGATAATAGCATAAAGCAAGTATGTGTAATGACGTACAACGTGTTATACAGATTAAGAATATTGGTGTCGGGGTGTGTAAAGTACCCGGTGTCCCGCAGACCCGCGTCACACTCTTGGTAGGTAAAGCACTGGCTGTGGCACGTCTTGAAGGTGATATTGCTTGTATGTATGTGAATACACGGGAAGGAATAGGGCAGTTTGTAGTATAAACTTTTCCTACGTAGATAGGGAAAAAGAAATTAGGTAGAATGCGTTATGAATTGCTATCAGTCTCAAGTAGGGTTTATCTAAGAGCTCTGTTGGTCATTGCCTGTGAAACCCTGCTTATTTCTCGTACTAGAGGAGATAGGGTCTACTAGTACGTAAGTGAGGCAAAAGTACTCTAGTAACTATTGACCTAGGATCCGTGGTAGTTTTTATTAGAAGAATAAGGAATAATCGTTGGCGATTGCTGGAATTTTCTAGAAAAAAAAGTTATCGTATCACATCGAGTGCGATCTATGCATATATAATCGCGAGTTGCGCTGTGACCTGAAAGTGTAGGAGAAGTTTGTAACCACGGGCGAGTCAGTGGGAGATATCTTCTCATTTATGGAGAGAGTGTGCCAGGGTCTAAACACGAACTCAGTGCCCGCATAGGGACTAGAATTGAATTACACTTCTCTATTGAGGCTGTTGGGGTTGGACAAACGCATGGAGTTATTGCTTCTGTCTTGACATAGTACAGAGTCTGCATGTAGGGTCATAAAGGGACTGATAAAATATACGCATCTAGAGCACAGCGGAGAGATATACAAATTTGTTGATACCCATAAAGCTGTGAATACCTAAGACCATGCCATATCTCTCCTTGTTCTAACGGAATACGTACAATGCAGTGTTTGTGGGTTTCTGATAACAGGTACATACCTTAGCCGCACTAGCATGTGAACTGTAATTCCGCTTACCTTTGCCTGACAACACACGCACCGCTGATGTCACTCTTTAAGACACTCGTACGGCACTTGGCGCACGTCGCAACGTGATTGGGATCAGACGCAGCGTCCATATCTCTGAAACGTACAGTTCAAGCGCAGGCAGTATGTTAGTTAACAGGGCGTAGGGCATAGAGTTTAGGATTTCGTTTTTCTAACCCCTTAAAACCTCGTCAGATTCATGACTTAGTGCTACAGACTATCATTGGGTGTACAGACTGCTAGTCTACTGTCACATACGAATGCTCTGTACAGTGCCACGTATAAACAATTTGAATAGACTGTCCATATATAGAATAAACGTTGAAGGCGGGCAAGTTTACAGCCTCTTAAAGTGTCATGTATGTATATCAGCGTGCGTGCAAGTTATTTCCGTTTATCTGGATAATATACACATCGATATTGGCGCATGAAAAACTTTGCAGTACGTGAATGTGTCTGCACTTGTATCGTTGGCAAGTACGATTTTTACCCTTCTGCACGTGTCGCACGAGTGTGTAGACAACTGTTCTAAAACATATATCTATATCTACATCTATACACACACACACACACACACACA